AGACAGAGTGACAGCAGCACAGCTGCATGAGACACTTTGTACCCGCGCTCCAACGCCTTCCCCTAGGGAAATGTCTTTAGGCAGGCCAAGAGGACGTGGCCCTGACCCACAGAGGGCTGAAGGGCTGCCGTACCTGTAAAAAGGCCCGCAGGAAGTGTCTCGTAACACCGTCTGAAGTCATGCAGAAATATTTTCTACCCTTATCGGCATCTGCGAAGTTTCTGTTTGTCAAACACTCAGCCAGCAGCTCTGGCCACATCCCAGGGAGAACCCCAACAGATGGTACAGCCAGGACCCAGAATCCAGTGAGGATCAGAGCCCCGGTGGCACTGGATTTTGACAGTCGGTCACTGGAAGTGACACTCAAGAGCTTGGGGTTCCCACATATGAAAGGAGCATAGGAAAGTTAGAAAGAGGGGTGTATCTTATGCCTCAGTGCATCACACTGTACCCCACAGCTGCTACAATTATTACACATCAGCTTGAAGAAGAGTGGGCTTCGTTTTGGTATTTGCAAAATTAGTACCATTGCTGCCCGCTGGCCAGTGTGCAAGCTTTGCTGCTCAGAGTTTCTCTCAGAGAGAAGCAGGGATGGCCCAGATGGATCCTCATCTCTAGACTTACCTCAAGAGGAAGAAAAAGAAAGCCGGAGCTTCACTTTGGAGCCTGGAGTAGAGTTCAGAACTTGAAGCCAGGGGAGTTGAGTCCTAATCCCAATTCTGACTCCGAGTACACTCTAGGACCTTCTGAGCCTCAGTTTGCCGATCTGTACCATTGTCTTGGAGTTTGTGATGGCTAATATTGATTGTTAACTTGACAGCATTGCCAGGGAGACACACCTCTGGGTGTGAGGATGTTTCCAGAAAGTTTTACCTGAGGTGAGAAAATCTGCTGTGAGTGTGAGTGGCACACGCCTATGGACTGAGATGCTGGACTGTATAAAAAGGGAACCCGAGGTGAGCGGCAGCACTCATGTCCCTACTTCCTGATTGCAGTGTGACCAGTCACCCTATGCTCCTGATGCCATGATTTCCCTGACGTGATGGACGTGTATCCTCCAGCCGAGTCAGAACAAAACCATCCTTCTTTCCACTGCTTTTTGTCAAGTTTTGTGTGAGAAATAAGAAAAGCAGGTAACACAGAGTCCTAGCATTTAACAGGATAGTCTGTGGTCCCCCGAGACCTTGTCTCAGCCTCAGCCCACATGACAACTGCCATCCTTTCGTAAGTTAAGATCACAAGTTCAGTGATGAGGGATCTCTGGGGTGGAAACCCTGCTAGGCATGTGGTACATTTCAAATCAGAGTACCAAGTCTGGCTGGAGAATGTTATAAAATAGTTGCTAAGTGGGGTGGAATAAAAGTTAGCTTGAGCTGGAGGAAGGTCAGAACTTGAAGGCAACAGACCCACATGACCCATGCCAAAAGCAGCAATGACATCGGGCCAGGAGCCCACAGTCAGTCCCTGGTCTTTCTCAGGATCCTCCCCCGCCATGTCACCTTCAGCAGCTCCACTGTAGAGAAAGGGATTCAATGGTCTCCCAAAATGCCAGGCTCAGGGGAAATGCACCAAGTTGTAGCTTGAGGAGTCTGGGGGACTGGAGCTCCACCCCCATCCTTCTGAGGCATAGGTGAGGGTGGGGATGTATAAAAGAAGGCCAGGTGTGTGCATTTGCACAGCCCTATCTTCATGTTTAGAATGCCTCTGTTTGGCCCAGGGTGAAAAGGAGCCATTCCCAAACATCAGCCAGAGTGGACTGTCAGAGGACCCACAAACCTTCGGGGTCTTAGCAAAGTTGCAGTTGGCTCTGTTACTGTTAAGATGCTGGGTTCCATCCATGGATAAGAGTCCCAGGGAGAAGGCCCTGCTCATCCACTGTGTGTATGTGTGCGTGCGCATGTGTATATGTGTATGTGTGTTCATGTGTCCATCTGTCCTTTGAGGGGTGGAAGAAGGGAGGGCAATGAGCTAATAAGAGTTGTCTGTGATTTATGCACTTTGCAGAGCAAGTTGGAAATAGTGTTCAGATGCCCGGGTGTAGCAGGAATCTTAGAAGGTCTTATTAATAAAATCAAACCTGAGGCCTGTTATTGGGGTGAATGCTGGAAGATCAGAGAAGCAGAACAAGCCACAGCTACCTCACCTTACCAATTCCTCTGCTGATCCTGTTTCCTCAGACTAGATGCCTCTGAGTCCTCATCCAGAATGAATCTCAGCTGAACTACTGCTCAAAAGCCTGAAAGCTTAACTAGCCAAATGCTTCTAGTTTCTGGTCCTCACGCCTTATATATCTTTCTGCTTTCTGCCATCACTCCCTGGAAATAAAGGTGTGAGTCACCATGCTTGGCTGTATCCTTGAACACACAGAGATCCAGAGGGATTTCTGCCTCTGGAATCCTCTATGTTTAATATTGTGGCTGTCCTGTTCTCTGACCCCAGATAAGTTTATTAGCGTGCACAATATTTCGGGGAACACAATACCACCACATCCGGGCCATAGCTGAAGGACCCCTCTTTCCCCTCCATATCCTGGCTGACATGTTCCCCACCATGTTCATGGAGTTAGCTGAACTGCTGGGCTTTCCCTGTGATCTTCCGGTAGGGCAGAGGCCTATGCCCACATCACCCCATTGTGAACAGGGCCAGGAGCCTCTGACAGCAGCTACAGATAATTCTCCATGTTTACTTTAAAAAACAATTACTTGCCTACAGGGTAATCAGCTTTGCGGCATCTCAGCCCAGAGTAAGGACTATCCACTGTAATCCTAGCAAGAAACTGGCTTTATCCCACACCCAGCTGCTCTTTCTCCAGCTAACCTCACCTCACTCTTGAGGACTCACTCTCTGCTTGATTTGGTGACGTTACTGCCTTGGGGCCACCACACCCACAGCTCCAACCTATTTTGCTCTGGAGTATAGGCTTCCTAAACTTCTAATGCCAAACCTTTCCTGATTGTCTATGCTGAAGAAATCTCCAGGAGAATTCAGAATTCTGACATCTTTCCTCTCGGTCAGGTGGATGTGGTACCTGGTAGAAGGTAGCACAGAGACAGGGACAGGAGTGTCTCTGGGGGAGAAAGGACCCACCAAGAGTCAGGATCAGCACCTGGAAACAGTCACGGAGAAACAGGAGAAAGGGCATATAAGAGGCTCACTGTTTCAGTGAGTCCATGGTGGCCTGACCCATGTGCTGGAGCAGAACATCCTAGAAGAGGTAGTGTATGATGGGGGAGGCACAGAGGGAGGAGTGTGTGATGGAGGAGGTATGGAGGAGGAGTGTGTGATGGAGGAGGTATGGAGGGAGGGAGGAGTGTGTGATGGAGGAGGTATGGAGGAGGAGTGTGTGATGGAGGAGGTATGGAGGAGGAGTGTGTGATGGAGGAGGAGTGTGTGATGGAGGAGGAGTGTGTGATGGAGGAGGTATAGAGGAGGAGTGTGTGATGGAGGAGGAGTGTGTGATGGAGGAGGAGTGTGTGATGGAGGAGGTATGGAGGAGGAGTGTGTGATGGAGGAGGAGTGTGTGATGGAGGAGGAGTGTGTGATGGAGGAGGAGTGTGTGATGGAGGAGGTATGGAGGAGGAGTGTGTGATGGAGGAGGAGTGTGTGATGGAGGAGGTATGGAGGAGGAGTGTGTGATGGAGGAGGAGTGTGTGATGGAGGAGGAGTGTGTGATGGAGGAGGTATAGAGGAGGAGTGTGTGATGGAGGAGGTATAGAGGAGGAGTGTGTGATGGAGGAGGAGTGTGTGATGGAGGAGGAGTGTGTGATGGAGGAGGAGTGTGTGATGGAGGAGGAGTGTGTGATGGAGGAGGTATGGAGGAGGAGTGTGTGATGGAGGAGGAGTGCGTGATGGAGGAGGAGTGTGTGATGGAGGAGGAGTGTGTGATGCAGGAGGTATGGAGGAGGAGTGTGTGATGGAGGAGGTATAGAGGAGGAGTGTGTGATGGAGGAGGTATGGAGGGAGGGAGGAGTGTGTGATGGAGGAGGTATGGAGGAGGAGTGTGTGATGGAGGAGGTATGGAGGAGGAGTGTGTGATGGAGGAGGAGTGTGTGATGGAGGAGGAGTGTGTGATGGAGGAGGAGTGCGTGATGGAGGAGATAGGGAGACTAGGAAGCAGAGAAAGGGTAAAAGAAGTGGGGACCAGGTAAAACCTTTAAAGCAGCCTACTTCCTTCAGGTAGGCCACACCTCCAGAGGCCCAGAGCCTCCCAGAGTACCCACCACACTAGCTGGTGACCAAGTCTCCCACACATGGGAGCCTGTGAGCTGTTTCACATTCAAATCATAACCGGTCCCTGCTTGGTTTGAGAGACATGCTTCCCTGTGTCACTTGGTCAATTTTAGATCAGCATGCAGCATCATGGGAAATCTGCCCTGTTGACTCTTGGGGCTACTTGAAAATCTTACAGGGGCTCTCTCAGAGCCCTACAGTGCTTCACTACAGACCTCTCCAAATGCTACTGAGTGGTTGTCACAAATTCACTCCCAGCTAAAGAACCGCGGAATACATTTCTTCTTTTAAGGAAAATGTGAAACCTAAGCTTGCCTGAGATCCTGAAAGTAAAAACGGAATGAGCTCAGAAAGTGCTTACTTGGGCGGTTTGTGCCTGGTAAACCTCAGACTGTATGTTTGGAAGTAGCCAGTGGGTGGTCTGCATCCCTCCCTGGGCACCTACCCGTCTCAAAGCAGCCACGTCCCTCATTCTCGGCACCACTTCTCCTCCTCCCCAATGCTCAAAAGAGTTTTCCCTGCAGGGAAAACGCCTCCCTGTGCCGCACCTGGGGCGCGGCTCCTGCCCTCCCCCCATTCCACCCACATCTTACCAGTGAATTTGAATTGCCCCCCTCCCACCCCACCTCTCCAGTGCGTTGCTAAGTTACAGAAGACAATTAGGACCAGCTTTGGGAGCTCTTTGCCATTCCAGTCACGAACAGCTCTTTCTAGCTCCCCTTTCTTTCCCTGGGAGTGGTAGGGGAATGCTTGTTCAACTATAATGGAGAAAAACCTCTCCTGTTCAGAGCAGGCGGCAGAGGTGGCTTTTCATCCCACGGCTCTCGCAAACTGCACAAGTGGGCAGACACCGCTCAATCGGATCCAGCCCTCTTAAGAAAATGTCTGAAAAGCCATTGTATACCTGCACACCGGGCTGTCTACCGAGGGAAGCAGTTAAGCTCCCCTTTGGAAGTAGTGGCAGAGAAGCGCTGTCCCTGCTGGGGCTGGATCCGGCTCCACTGCCAGTGCAGGCGGTCTGCCCGAAAGGTGGCTCCCTTTGCTTTCCAAAGTAACTATTGCAAGACAGATCAAACAAAAGCAGTTTTAATCTGCTCTGACTAATATCACAAACCGGCTCCCCCGCGCCAGTAATACGGTCCCCTGAGCAAATGAAGGCTCAGAAGAATGAGGAACTTGTACCGGCTGCCTCAGGGAGGTCAGTCCAGGGCAGCTGTCCTTTGCCCCAGAAGATTGCTAGTGACTTTCGGGGCCCAAATTGGTTAGATTGCCCGAGGAGGTAGACTCGGGTCATTCTGAGATGCCCAGCAGGCTGTTGCCACATACCCTTTTGTGCCCAAAGCGGGTATTACATTCTGACCTGTATTGTTTTTAAAACGCCAACTAGCACATTGGCTAAGGTTTACCTTGCAAATCACCCTGAGTTCTACTAATACCAGTGATGGAAGCAGGGCAAACCACATCTCTGGCTCAGCATAGCCGTGTGCCTCTGCATGAGGAGCATATCCTTTCCGATCTCAGAATCCTTACTTGATGAGGAGACAGTGAGTCAGACCTTGCAAAGATGGAAACACTGAAGCTGCTACATGTGAATGAGGAGCATAGAACCAGAGAGACAGCAGATGCTCAACCAGCAGCCGCGGACTTGGACCTGTCGGTCTAGATACCAATTTGATGCTTATGAAGAAAAGCTAGGCCAGGTTGTTTGAGAGCAACATGGCAGCTGACAGTCACCTAGGTAAGCATGTGACCTATGACCCACACAGGGAGAGTCTCCAGAGAAATGGGGCCCAGAGACTTATGGGAGCATCTTGTGTGTCTGCATGCAATGTAAAAAGCAGCTCGAGGCTCAACCCATGGAAACAGATGAGGAAAGTGGAGCAGACAGAAGACTAAGTAGAGGTACCACGGGCGACTCCTGTACTCTTAAGAACGGCACACAAGTTTTAAACGGTAAGATGCAAAGGGCAATTCGCAGCACAGAACAGCTGATATGTGCTTAAATATCCACTCACACGTGGGTGAATTAAAGGGGTAAATTAAAACAGGATAAAGATCTTGTGCAAGCTATTAGTGAATGTTGTATAATTAACCCTTCACTTTATATAAAAAGAAAAAAGTGGTTTCTAAAATGTGGTTTGGTTGTGTGTGTGTGTGTACACAAATCGAATTTTATTTATCAGTCCAATAGCAAAGACAAGGGGAATTCTCGTCCAGTCCTGGTTGATGTTGTAACTCATTTTATGGCCACGATCCTTAGCACAACGCTAGGCACGCAATGGACAGGAAGTAGATGTCAGTGAGTGAATAAAACAAAACTTATTACTATCCATGCTGGACGCTCCTCCCTGTGCTGGGCAGAACCTTGGGACTGAGTGAAAGAAGCGTGGGGGACTTCCTGGAGGCAAGGTATTTGTGGCTGTGACGGAGGAGGGAAAAAAAGGGTGATAGGAGCTGGCTTCCAGCCTCCAAGGAAGCCGCTCTTAGGAAGGAGCAAAGGCTGAAGCGAAACTGTCCTCACCAGCTCCTGTAGTGCCCAGTCAGGACTGGCCTTCTCAAAGACCGCAGCGTGCGAGAGAAGACGACTTCTGTTCCCTCTTGCTGACTTCTAGGGGGAGGTGTGAGGTACATCACACAGTGTAACTGATACCATGTGACAGCAAGGTCACAGGCCACATCCCAGACCTAATTGCACATTTAAGGGGGAAATCCTTTCTAAGTGACATGTGACACACCGAGGCTGATGGATTCCAGAGTCCAGCCTGGCCAGGCTCCATTCTCAACATCACATGTGTGCACAGGACCCGGACTTTCCCATGCTGCCCACGTCAGTGTCTCTGGAGTGAGAACATGCCATTTGAGCATTTCACTCTTTGTGAAGCAATGTGGCCTGTGACAGTGAGAAATAGCTAGGCTCAGTCCTCGGTCACTTATTCTAAGTTATTGGCATCCATGTAATCTCCCCAAAGTCCTTCTTCCAGAGCAGGGGACTTTCTAGCTTGCTGTTAGGTGCCTTTGTTTGTCTCTAGCAATAAAACTTGTTGGCACATCCTTTAAGGGTCTTATCCCAGCACTTCTGTTTGGACGTTCAGTCAGTGGAAGGAGATAGATGGTTAGGGTAAACTTTGTGGCTAAAAGGGTTCAGGATTTAAATTTGTCTGCTTTTGATAAAGAGCCCAAGAATTCCAGATTATTTCGGTCCTTTCGTTCTCCTTCAGTTTGGAGGTACCGAATTTTTCATATGAAATCTCTCATTTCTGTTTGGAAATAACGGAATCTTGAAAACTAAAGATCTGGCCTTAAGCAGGAAAAGCCGATAGATCATCACTTGAGAGTCAGGGGGAGCATTTGGCTCTGTGATTGATTGTAAACAGCATGTAGATGTCCTGGAGCCACACTGTCCTCATGGGAGACTCTGAAGGAGGCACACAGGATGAGTAGACTAAGGGGGTGGCAGCCAGTGGTCCAAAGACTGGAGCTAGCAAATTCAGATGGTACCCTGGAAGTTTTAGGTTCCTTCTTATGGTGCAGGACAGAGAAAGGGAAGAGGAGGGGAGAAAAGGAGAAGGAAACAACTCACTGTAGTGAAGAATTGGTTCCGGAACGGCCCCTGTCTCACCTTGTGAGTACCAAAGCCAGAAAATGCTGAAATCCCTTATATAAAATGGAATTGTATTGGCACAGAACCTATGCACGGCCTCTCATGCTGTTAATCTCTATACCGTTTACAATGCTAACACATAGAAACCTGTATAAGACAGTGCTGGGCTGTATTGCTTGGGAAATGATGACAGGAACACGGGTCTGTTCACATTCAATGTCGGCACAGCTCTTTCCTCTGAGTATTTTTGAGTCTGTGATTGGTTGACTCCCAGGTGCAGAAGCTTTGGGTACGGAGTGCTGACTATATGTGGGGGAAGGCATACTAATTAGCTTGGCTGTAGTAGCCACAGTTGGCATGTCTACCAAATCAGGGATGTCAGAACTTCATGTGGTACATCTTAAAATACACACAATTGAGAAGTAAAGACCAGTAACGGACTGGCTTCTGCGCAGCTAGCCCTGCCAAGGCGACTTAGCCAGAGTCTCTCAGATAGAAAAGGCCAGACCAGCAGTCTGCCTTCTCCCTGCTCTGGCCTCTCACTGACTCTTGCTGCACAGAAGGATGGCAGAGTGATCTTTGCAAAGAGGAACTTGGCTCATATCCTCCCTCCCTAAAGCTGCAGATGCAAATAAAACTCTGAGGTCTTTGTAGGGCCCTGGGCAACCTGATCCTTGTTTATTAGACAGTGTCATTTCACACACCAGTTTTTGACTACGGTCTGGTCCCCATACCCCAGGGCCTTTGCTCTACAGCCTGCAATGCTCTACTTCCCATCTTGCCCTGCCTCTTCCGCATCTTCTAGTCCTCAGGTCAGTGACATTTCCTCTGAGAACTCCTCCCTGATTCTCTGATTAGATCAAATCCATCCACTGTCATTGCGAACCACAGGCCTCCCTTAGGAGACTTGCCCATGGTAGGGATGACTTGATAGCATGGTTTACTAAGCAAAACGGAAATTCGGGTGAAGCTGAATCCATCTTCCAGATGAGTCCACAGGACCTAGCGCAGTAAGGAAGGATGCTGGACGAGCCAGGGGATGATAGTGTGAACAAACTGGTCCTGAACTCTCATCACATCACAGGATGACAGACTCGGGCTGCAGATAGGAAAGCCACATGTGCTTGGCTGGGCAGCTGAGCTCAGAATTACACATTTAAGAGAGTGACGTTACCAACTAAGGTGACGAATGGCTCCACAGTTAAAACAAATGGTGTCACCTGATTTCCAAGGGTCTCAGCAGCTGGGCACTGTGCAGCCGGACACTGTATAGGAGCTATACACATGTTATATACAGAGGTTAAATGTGTAGACTTGAGGTCACGTTGTTGGGAACAGACAAAAAGCACCTTGTCATGAGTACTGCCATTTTGACTTTGGATTCCATTTTTACCTGTAGGATAAAAATCAAGCTCAGGTTCCCAGGCTCTAGAAGAGCTGGGAACCTTCCAATAGCTGACCCACCTCCTCCTTAAACCATAGTTTAGAAATAGTCATTACGCATCTTTAGTTCTCTAGAAACATTATGGCTGTTCCTAACACCAGAAAGAAGAAATGAATCTGATTGGTTGGACTGAAAAGCTTGAATTGTATATCGGTTGACAATGATGGAACACTCAAGGAAGCCCCCAATCTCTAAATCCTGATTGGTAAAAATTCTAACTGTAACTTGGCAACAAATGTTTGCAATTTTTGTGCTTAAATACTTGCTTCAGCTGGCATTTAAGGCTGCTGTTCTGCTCCCAAGTATGTTCTGCGGCCCTGATTGTTTAGCTCCCTCCCCTTCCCATCTTCTTTTGTAATGCCCTGAATTAAATCTTGCCTTGAGGTAACTCCTTGTGTCTGCTCAGGTCGAAGCACCCAGATCTGTGGTCTCGTTTATAAAATGAGATAATAACATCATTCACAGAATGTTCACTGTGAAACTTAATCGAGCTAACACCTGTAAATTTCCTTGCACCAACATTAAAGTGCTGTGGCTCTTACTTCCATCCCCATAAAAATTGAAGCTCATGAAATTCCCTGTTTTGTTAGGATCCTGGAGAAATTCCACAAGAGACCACCATCCACATATGCAATCAATAAGAGCGTTTATTATTCCAGCAAGCTGGGACCCCGCCATCCCACATAAAGGCAAGATGGTGATGACCCCAAGAGGGATGTATGGGGTCCTTTAAAGCATCGCAAAGGGGAATGTCTAAGGAAGTTAGCTTATCTTAGATATGATTGGCCTAAACAAGTGGAAATCATGCTAGTAACTTATAATTGGCCAGAGCTACAACTATGTTCATAGTCCATTATTCACAACAGTCAAAAAGGTGGAAAAATCTAAAAGTCTTTCAGTAGATAGTGGTTGAAGAAATGCAATGGAATATGACTTGATCTTTAAAAAGTAGGAAATCTAGTGCACTCCCCAGCATGGTGAACTTTGAGTCTATTATGATGAACAGTGTAAGCCACTTACAAAACAACAGATGCTGGGCAATTCCATTTGTGTGAGGCACCCAGAGTTGTCAAATTTAGAAAGAGAAAGCAGAATCAAGGCCGCCAGGGCCTGGGAGCTGGAGAGTTGCTTAAGTGGCAAAACATTTCAGTTTTATGAGACCAAAGAGTCCTGGAGATATCAGCATGAACGTATGGGGATATTGTTGAACTGCACACTTACAAATGGCTAAGAAATAACAGTGCATTTTATGCTACATTTTACCATGACATGTTTTAAAAGTGGTAAGTGAGAGTTACGACTGGGATAAACAGAGAGGGCGCAGCATCTGTGCAGTAAGGGAGGGTGTTGGGGGGTGGGGTCCTGCTCACCCTCAAGATTGCCCACATAGACCTGGCTATGTAGAATCCATGTACTATAAGGGGAGCTCAATCCACAGCTTGTTGATATCCATAGAAACCTGGGTATCCTTTAAGACCCCTTTCTACCTCGCCCTCTCCTGTGTTCCTTAGGGTCCTCAGACGGACAATTTGTGACAAAGTGGAAGAACCATGCCATGGATGTCACACACGTCCCAGTGTGAGGTCAGATCAAGAGACACCTGCATTAGCTGCCACTCACACCAGCTAGGATGAGTTCTTCTGCCCAGTTCCTGAAATGGAATACCTGATGCAAAAATGGAAACTTCATATGGTCAAGTTGCGGGCAGAAAGTTACCATAGCTGGCTGGGCCTTGGATGAGAAGGACGCTGGTAAAATGAGTTTTCTGGATTTCTGTCTTGGGGTAGTAGGATTCATAAATCTGGGGACATTTTTAAATAGCAAGGAGAAAAGTGCAGAGTACTACCACACACAAGGAGTAGACCTTGGAAACCACAGATAACACCAAAACCTATTTTTGTTCCTATTTACAATACATCCATGGCTAAGTTTAGTTCATAAAGAACAGTAAGAGACAAACAACAGTGGGTAATAATAAAATACAACCACAGTCACCTTATAATAAGAGCTATATGAGCATGGACTGTCTTTTCAAAATAGCTCCTTATACACATCTTTGAGTAATGGTGTGAGAAGACATGTTGGCTGCGTGACCAGCAAAGTGGTCAAATGATACAGGCATGTGACAGTGTCTAGCTACTATGTGCCACTTGAAAATTAGCACCACAGTGTCCATATAGTCACTCCCATAACCCAGACTGAGTAACATACACAGTATACAGATGCCAGGCAGAGAAGGAGTCATGTTCAAGTTGTGTTAGAGTGGGACAGAACAGGATTTCATCACAGTATTCAAGGTGGAGTGCCATTTAAAACTTATTAGTTCTGGAATTTTCTATTTAATATTTTCAGAGGGCAGATGACCATGGGTAAGCACATAGTTTATACTTAATAGCCATGATCTTATCTAGAAAAACAATGCTTTCATCATTATCTAAGACAGAAAAACATGGCGTGATAACATAAATGTGCACACTGGTTCAGCTTGAGAGATTAGATCAAGAGCTCAGGAGCTGTTGTACATCAGTTTTAGGGCTGCTTGTACCTGCTAAAGAGTTGGCTCCAGAAACACTCAAGGAGTTTATAAAGGGGAAGGAGGCAGCCACGGATATCAGAAGAGCCATAAAAAAACATAGGTGGACATGGTGGCACACACATGTCATCCCAGCACTTGGGAGGCTGAGGCAGGATGATCCCTAATTCCAGGCCAGCTTGGGCTAGAGCCTGTCACAAACAAATAAGCACATAGGAAAGCTACCAGGAGAGCCAGCAGGGGAGTGACCTGAGGGAGCAGGCTCTGGGAATATTATTGCTCATGCAGACACTGAAGCCGAGGAAGAAAGGCATCTCACATTCAGCCAGGAGGCCACTGGTGAGATTGCAGAGCACAGCTATGGTAGAATCACAGGGATGATGTAGAATTTCAGGGACTGAGGTGGGCAGACAAAGGAACAAATCTAAGCAAGCACACCATGAAGGGTATCCCTCACAGAGACAAGAAAGGGCAGTTTCATTAATTTCTACTGATAAAACACATTACCACTGTAGTTTTTTTTGAGGGCCCGCCACCCAGCTTTCAAATAAATGCACAGAGACTTAATCTTACTTAGAAATGCCCGGCCTTAACTTGACTTGTTTCTAGTTAGTTTTTCTAACTTAAAGTATCCTGTTTCTCTTTAACCATGTTTTGCCTTTGGGCTTTTTACCTTTCTTTATTCTATATTATCTTTTCTTTCCTTCTTACTACATGACTGGCTGTGTGACTGGCCCCTGGCATCTGCCTCTCCTTCTCCTTTTCTTGCTCCTCCCTCTTCTGTCTTAGATTTTTCCTCCTATTTATTCTCTGTGCCCATCAGCCCCGCCTATCCTTTCTCCTGCCTTGCTATTGACCATTCAGCTCTTTATTAAATCAATCAGGTGTTTTAGGCAGGCAAATTAACACAGCATCACAGAGTTAAACAAATGCAACATAAAAGAACGCAACACATCTTTGCATCATTAAACAAATATTCCACAGCATAAATGAATGCAACACATCTTAAACTAATAGTCCACAACATACCACAAACTGGATAATGTATAAAGAAAGGCTTTCTTTGGTTCTTAGTTCTGACCCATGGTCAAGGAGCTGATACAGTGATGGGTCTTACATTGGTGGGTCCCAGGAAGCACACAGTAGCACATGGCAGGGACTATGTGAATACCTGTCCACTTGTGTTCTACAGATCCACTGGGGGACAACCCTTGAACCCCCTAATCACTGACTGGATGAATGAGTGAGTCCCCCCATTAGGGAAGAGCTCTAATTGCCTCTTAACGAACCACTGCTTGTGGTGGAGATTAAACGTCAACCTAAGTGTCAGAGAAGACAAACCATGGTCCAACCACAGTGGAGATGGAGCGGTGGTCTGCAGCAGATAAACTTCATAGCCAGTGTCCACCCTGCCATTAGCACACAGCAGGGGGTCAACCAGTGGGGGATCAAACAATCCCGATCCAACTTTAACGTCATTTCATGTGTCCTGCTCATATACGCTCCTGGTTTTCCGTTTGCCTGTCTGCGATAGCCCATTGGACTTACTCAGACACGGGGACTGTAAAGATGGTTCAGTAAATAGTAGCTTTGGAAAATGAACACCTAAAAAGAAACAACAGCTTCAACAACTATCTGGGGGAGTTCTTCAAAATAAAATTGGAGCTGGTGGTATGGCTTATAGTAGATTTGCCCAGAATATGTGAGGTTGTAGTCTCAATCCTCAGCACCAGCAAACGAAAGTGAATTTGCATCAGCCATTCTAGAGATTCCTGTTTTGTTTTTCTATAGTTAGTTACAGCCATTTCCTATGATTCTTAAAATAATTAGTTTGACAGAGAACAACTTTGTTTTCCCCTCACACACGTGTGTTCATCTTTGCACTTTCTCCAGTTAACTCCTATAGTGGTCTTGACTAAGCACACATGCTTATGTTCTATGAAGAATGAGAAATGGGCACACGGATGGACTTTCTGGTTAGAAAGCATGTGCTACATGTTTCACTATGCCGAGAGAACCAGCACTAACCTGCCATGATGGGCTATCGGGCCTGTCTCTTTAAGTCTGAGATCTCCAAGAGCATCGGGGGTGGATGTCTGAAAGTACACCCAGAGAGAATTCCCTTACTCATAAATTCTTTAAAGCCTTGCATTGCCAAAACTTTTATTAACACAAACACAGAGTGCCCAGGCCTGTAGGCCAAAAACCATGTGAGCAGCAACGCCATGGGTCTCCTCTTCTCTAAACACCACTGCAGGCAGAGCAGCAAACATCTGTCGGCAACAATACCAGCAGAGGACACCAAACCTGACCGGTACAGTTAATTCTCATCAGTGGTTATAGTGGTGCCCAATGTGTATTGGACTGTGTAACAACACCTTGTACATTGGTAGTTTACAGACTATGGAAGATGATTTCTCAGTTCAGAGACTTGAGGTCTAAGATCAAGGAGCTAGCAGATGTGATATCTGATGAGGACCCACTTTCTGGGTTAGCTTCCCTGTTATTTTGCTTTATGTAAAAGGGTGAAACAAAATCAAGAAGAGGGTGGGCCTCTCTTCCTACAGAGGGCATGGGAGGAGTCCTGGGCACTGAGGCAAGCTTTGCATAAACAGTGTACTTGAGTGGTGACCAACTACCAGTTCAGGGGAGGAGGTGAAGTGCTTGGTGAGGATGCAGACATGCCTGCCTTTCCTGAAATGAGGACTTCAGGGGGCTCTGGTCATGTCTTGGAGGGCAGGCTGCTGAGGCACATGGGACAGGAGAGATGAGCCTTCAGGAGAGGAAGGTCATTGTCTGGATGCTTTGCATCAGGTCATAGATGAATAGTTATAATGGCTAAAACTGGATAATTGTGATAGCTGCCTATAACCCCAGCCACTCAGGAAGCAGTGACAAGGACCCCCCAGGGCAAGCTGGTTAGCTAGACTGAATTTGATGAGTTCCACAGGTTCAGTGAAAGGTCTTGCCTCAATAAATACAGTGAAAAGCAATTGAGGAAGAGAACGATGTCCACTTCAGGTCTCTACATGAACATGTACACATATGTGTATACACCCATATTTTGGTGTACTTTGCTATGACCAAGGCAATTTATAGAAGAAAGGATTTATTTGGGGCCTACAATTCCAGAGGGTTAGAGCCTGTGACCATCATGGTAGAGAGCAAGGCAGCAGGCAGGCAGGCATGGCACTGGAGCAGTAGCAGAGGCTTACATCTTGATCCACAAACACAAGGCAAAGAGAGCTAACTGGGAATGGTGTGAGCTTTTGAAACCTCAAAGCCTGCCCCCAGTAGCACATCTCCTCCAACAAAGCCACACCTCCCAATCCTTCCCAAATAGTTCCTCCAACTGGGGACCAAGCATTCAAATATATGAGCCTATTGGGTCTATTTTCACTCAAACCCTTGCATCCACACATGCAAACACACATACCACACAGCATACAGATATGTATGCAAAAAGGGAAGTAACAGTGACTCGATAAGAATGTAAAGAAATGTATATGTTAATTAGCTTTATTTGGTCACTTCAAAACAATTTACTGTGCATGATAAATATGCACAATTTGATGTGTAAATTAAAAGGAGATTAACAGTTGAGTCACTCATTCTCCCCATGAACACTTTGAGTGCTTTCCCTGTGCTACTGGGGGACTGGCAAGGAGGATGCAGTGTGAAAAAGGCTCAGGGCATGACCTACTGGAGAATAAAAGCTGAGAGAAGCAGGCAGATAAGGGAATGAAGTGGGCCTGGGCTACTACCTTAAGGAGAATGGTTCAATAGGCATGATATTTAAGCGAAAAAACTGAGCAGAGTGGAGAGAGCCGTGGGGGCGGGAGGAGGGTGCAGCCCTCCTGTCAATCAGAATTGAGGTGCTGGAACACCATGCATGAGGCAAGCAGGAGAAGGGAGGCAGGAAGGAGCAGAAGCCCTGACCCACATTCTGGCCTTGGTGATGAGCACAGTGCAAGGCCAATGTCTTGCTAGGGTAGCCTTAAAGAAGGTCTGGCTTTCCGTGGCAGATTTGCTCTGGTGTGCTGGGGCAGGCTGTTTGCAGTGGTCAGTCCACCCGTACCTAGGGAGACACAAGTTCCCCAGGTCTCTCAGAGGCAGTGTGGCATCAAGATCAGTAGCTTTCTAGGGATTAGTTGGCAATAGTCGCTGACTGTGGGTTTGACTTCTAAAACTGGTCAACATCTCAGAAAGCAGAAGTGTTCCTGGGTTGGATGTGGTAGCAGCAACAGGCAACCTCTGCCGTGATGGGCTCTCCAGGCCAAGTATCCACCATCCATCTGCAGACAAAAAAGCCCCAGCCCTCTGAAAAGTGCATCTAAGTGAGGGTAGACTATGGGGTGTGGAGTGTTACCCCTGTTGTAGTGAAAGGCCTTCCTGTTCAGGACTGCTGCCACATAGACCCCAAGGAAGGGGTAGAAAGTGTGTCCCTCATCCTCTGCTTGGTCCCAGGCTCCATCCAGGCCTGCAAGGTTCAGCAGTGAGAGGTAATCAGGAGGGCCAGGGGCTGCTGATGGCACGACCGTGACCTTAGCCAGAACAGAACCCACCAGAAACTCACAGTCAATGGCAGCTACCAGAATATCTTTCTGGTCAAGCCAATCAAAGTTTAGACATTCTGTGGGAGGCCAGCTCCCACCTTTTAAAGGGTTCTTATGAGGAAGAGAGAGGGATAAGAAACTTTTAGATAAAAAGATAGCTAAGAGCAGAAAGACAGAAACACAGGATAGCTTTGGGAGGACCTGGATCAAAACCCACCAGCCCCTTCTGCCTCTTCAAAGGGCCTTTTTATAACAATGCCAAAGGGTGGAGCAAAAGACCTTTCCCTTGCTAGATCAAAGCACACCGCACAGCCAAGTGCAGACCCTTCCAAACACCTGGTAACCATGCCCGTGACCAAATCATCTCCTTATGCAGCCCTGCTGGGTAAAGCGAGCTCAGATCTCACTAGGAAACCTCTGTGGGTCTCTACAACATTCTGATTACTCTAATAGTTAATCCTGAAAAGGAACCACGGGGAATGGATGCCGACAGATGCAGGCATGAAGCCAGGGCACACCCACACAGCATGCCCACATACACCTGCAACCTCTGTGGAGTGCAAGTATGTTAGAGTTTGAATATGAATCATCCCCAGCAGGCTCATCTATTGAACATTTGGTCCCAGGGTGGAGGCAGTTTGGGGAGGCTGTGGAATGGTTTGCACATGGAGCCTACCTAGCAAAGGTAGGGCTATGGTGGCTGGATTTACTGACTTCAATTTGGCCTGCATTCTACCTGAACTTCCTTTGTTTCTTGATCAGCTTGCTGAGATGTAAATAAGCTAGCTAATGGTCCATGGAGCCACTCCCACTAACACAACCAATGTACCGTGCTTCCCCCACGGTGAAACTAAACTAAGTTCTTCCTGGGGCCAGGGATGTGGCAATGCAAGGATGAGGACCAAAGCTCAGATCCTTAGAACCCACATAAAATGCCTGAGTAGGCATGTCCGCCTGCCCGTGACTCCAGCCTGGGAAGAGGGAAGTAAGATCCCCACAGCAAATGAGACTAGCTGTCTCTGTGAGCTTTTGGGTTGATTAAGAGACCCTACATCAAAGAAGAAGATAGAAGAGCAATCAAGGATGATTCCTGACCTCAGTCTAGGCACCACATGTGTGCTCATGCACATCACCCTCATACACATGTTCCCCATACATGCAAACATGTATACACATATGCACGCACACACTTGCACACAGTTACATACATGCACAGAAACACACGCACATACACTCACACATGCATGCACGTGAACATGCATCTGTGAAAATGGAGAAAGAAAAAAAAAGTTCTTCCTCTCTTAAGTTACCTCAGTTGGGTAAGAATTAGTACTTAGTGTCATGAAGCCAGGAAGCAAGTCCCTTGTTCCCTGATGTGACCTACCGAGGGAGTCCGGTAATTCTAAGAATGTGGATAGTTGGAGCCAAATAGGGACTCTTTTGTTATGCAGCTCAACACTCTCTGCTTAGCAAATAAGAAAGGTGAACCATGTATAGAAAAGGTGACCAGGCTCAAAGACCTTCAGGAGTGGCAGGGCTGGCTGGATGATGGCATCCTTTGAGTGCCCAGGCTCCTGGCACCCAGAGTCGTCAGAAGAAGCCAGTTCTGGTTCTCTGCCCTCCACTTTTCTCTACCTGGCATGAACCCGAGCTGCTCACCTTTCCTCAAAATATCCCAGCCGCTCCCAGGCCTTCCCTTCTGAGTTCCTGTTCATTCAACATGGCATTCTTAGCATGGGGCTAAGTATCTTAGGCTTTTCACAGAACAATGTCCACATTAAGAAGCAATAATTGTGCTGTTTGGGCATTAATGCTGCATGCCTGTAGTCCCAGCCCATGAACAGTGCAGGTGGGAGAATCCTAAATTTGAGGTTAGCCTGGGCTAAATATTGAGATTCTGTCTCAGAAAACAACAAACAAACAAATGAATGAATTAATAAGTGAACAAACAAGAAACCATACTGTTCAAAAGATCATCCTAAAGCAATCTGCAAAGTAGCTATACACATGTGCATGATCACTGTCAACACTCCTCCGTCAGTGGGTTTCGTCTCCCTCCATCCAGTGACATTTCATTGCTCATGACACCTCTAGAACTTTTCTAGATAGCAATTTGTTTTTAATTTTCTGGTGCTGGCAATTGACTCCAGGGCATGGTGCATACTCAGCATGTGCTTTACACTGAATATACCCTAACCCTTGATATAGTCCTTGAGTCAAAAGTTCACAAGTTCAGTCTTGGCTCTGGATGAAAATGGCTGGCTGTGTGACTGCAGGAGAGAGTTACCAACCACAGCTGCAAAGGGAAACTGCTATTCAATGTTCAAAACTGATGGGAGGGGCAACTGAGATGATCAAAGTGCCCATCCTCACATAGAATGGCCTCAAAAATACTTTCTGCCTCCCTCTTTTGGACATCATTCTCAGATACAGCTGTTGTTCAAATCTTAGATGGTCTTTTAATAAAAAACCTGGAGCCAGATATTGGGGTGAAAGCTGAACGATCAGAGAAGCAGAGCAAGCCACAGCCACCACCTATTACCTCACCAACTCCATGAATCCTCTGACTGAAATCCTCTGAGTCTTCACCAGAAAGGGTCTCAGCTGAATTGCCTTAGTTCCTGTTTCTTCATGCCTTATATAACTTTCTCCACCTTGTCTCACTTCCTGGGATTAAAGGTGTGTGTGCTTCCCAGTACTGAGATTAAAGGTGTGTGCCACCACTGTCTGGCTCTATTTCCAGTGTGACCTTGAACTCACAGAGATCCAAATGGATCTCTGCCTCCTGAGTAATAGGATTAAAGGTGTGTGCCACCACTGTCTGGCCTCTATGTCTAATCTAGTAGCTGGCTCTATCCTCTGATCCTCTGGCAAGCTTTATTAGGATATACAATATATCACCACATACTGCAGTTCACATAAATGTAGGGTTGACCAAGGAATACTTTAAAGGTTTGTGTGGTGGTTTAAATGAGAATGGCCCACATGCGCTCATTCATGTCTTTGAATACTTGGTACCCAGCTGGTGGAACTGTTTGAGAAGGCTTAGGAGGTGTGGCTTTGTTGGAGAAGGTATGTCACCGGGGGTGGGCTTTGAGGTTTCAAAAGTCCATGTCAGATCCAGTTTCAACTGTTCTCTGCTTTTTGCCTGCAGATCAGGATGTAAGCAAGCTCTCAGTTACTGTGCCATGCCTGCTTGCCTGCTGCCACACTGCCTACCATGATGGTTGTGGATTTACTATCCCTCTGAAACTGTAAGCAAGTCCCCAATTAAATGTTTTTTAAAAAATAAGTAGCATTTGTCATGTTGTCTCTTCACAGCAGTAGAATAGTAACTAAGACAATGTGTGAGGTTGAAAGCTATCTGGAAAGGTTTGAAAATAAATGTGCTAAACTATAAGTTAACTAGAGACCACATACAAAATATCATCATCATCATCATCATCATCATCATCATCATCATCATGACTATCATCATCACCATCACCATCATCACCACCATCATCATCACTACCATCATCCTCATCACTATCATCACCATCATCGTTGCCATCATCATCAACATCACTATCACCATCATCATCAACCTCCTCCTTATCATCATCATCAGGTTTTTGATACAAGGTTTCACTCTATAGCTCAGACTGGCCTATAAATAACCACATGCCCAGGCTGGCTTCAAATTCACAGTGATCTCCTGCCTAAGCCTCCCAAGGACTGGGATTATAGGTGTGAGCCACCATGGTCTGCAACATACATCATAAAAGAACAAGTCACTTCTTCCTCAAGTTGGCTATTCTTCACTGGTATGCCATGCTTTACTAAACTTAAAAATAATCCAGCAGTAAGTAATTTAGATTTTGTAATCATGTAGGTATTTTGCAAGTCAGGGGTTTCAAACCAAAAGAAATTTTTAAGTTAATAGTTTCTTCTGTTAGAATTTCTAAGTCATCAATTACATGATAAATAACATGTTAAGTAACATGTAATCCTTAAGAAGTGAAGATAAGTCTAACGTAAGTAAGTCTAATAAGGCTTTCTTTCATCCTGTGTACGTCAGTGGCCCATGGCAAGAGGCCTAGATGCCTTCTATTTTGACTCCATTCCCTCAATTGTAAAATGGGAACTTCAGAATTACCCTATCAAAGGAATGGAGTGAAGACTGATTTCATAGGTGCTCCTTCATTTCTGATGGGGTCATGTCCCCATAAACCCAATACATAGGTTGTTGAAAACATTACAGGTTAGGGCACCTAACCTGCTGAGTATCCCAGCATAGCCGGGCCACTCAAATGTGCTCAGAACACTTCCACTCACCCACAGTTGGTCAATTTACCAAACGCAAAGCTTGCTTTTTACTAAAATGTTGGCTCTCTCATGTGATTTACTTAATACTGTACATTCTTTAAAAATCTGAGCAAAGGGAACCATGTAAGGCTGGAGAACACCTGTCATTAAGTTGTCACAGTCCTGGAGTTCAGAGGCGTTTCTGTCACCACCACTGCTTTGGTCTGATACCCACAGGGCAGCAGGATATGCCGAAGTTTCCTATCCTGGAACCCTGCATTCCCTTATGATTGACAGCCTCATCCTATGTAAGCTTTCTGGTTCTGGCTTCGCAGAAAGCAACAACAAACCCAAGCATCACTGAAATAATGCAAAAATAAATGAGCAGAAAGAATGTCTTCCCAGGACCACCACCCATGGAACCACCGCAGGGAAGCAAGGAGCCAGGGGCCATGGGTTTGGGTGGGCCTGGAGCTTGTCCTGCCCGGTGAACATTACTGGGCTGGAAGCAGTTTGTCAAGTTTGAATTTGACTTTGAACATTTCTCTTTCTATTTCTGTAGCTTTTTGCCATGGGGTCTATGAAGTGAAAATTCAACAGTGGGATTTTGGCGCCACAGTGTGTGCCAAGATCCAGAGCAACCACAGAGAGGGCATTGCTGTTGACCTCAGGCTTCCTCTCCACCCATTTATCCTCCCTGATCTTCCAAGGGGATCCTCTGGCTACGAACCTCACTCTCACCCCACCCCTTGGCAGGCCTGGTTTAGAGTCCTGGTATCAGAGGAAGGAAAAAAGTTTTGACACATACATGTGGTTTGGAAATTCCAAAAAGGCCGGCACGCGAGCCTTCAGCAATTTACATTTGAGGTCATAGTGGGAGACTAGGGATGTAGAATTTATGGTCCAATGGGATAAATCAAATCCCTGCTCTGGATCAGAGTTTTCTGTGCCCTAGATTGTCAGACATTCTTGGAGGATGCTTCCAAGCACGAGTTTGACAAGCTCAGGGTTACAGGACTCTGAGAAGATGCCCAGTTAATACTGGATGTACTGATGCCTTTGAGTGCAACAGAAAAACACATTACCAGAAGCAAAGAGACACTGTTGCAGACAGAAAGAGAAAATTCAAGAATTCCACAGAAGAATCAAATACCTGCAACAAGACGACAAGGTGCCAAAGACCGAGGAAATGGCTGGATGAAGAGGTGCCCTTCCCCACACACACCCAAATGACCAAGCATCCCGAGGATGCTGAAAGTCTCAGTAGTAGATAAGGAAAGACACTCCCTTTTGCTTGAAGAGCTTGCAGGGAAATTGAACCCCTGTCCAGCTCAGTGGGGGAATCTTGTCAGCCACACATGGCAATTTCCTCATTGACCCTTCACTGTTCTCTCAAAGCAAAGCCACCAGAATACAGAAATCATGAACAGTCAGGTTTAAGTATGGTGCTGGTTGGTTTTTGTCAACCTGACACAAACCTAGACATATTTGGGAAGAGAGAATCTTAACTGAGAAAGTGCCTTCACAAGATTGGCCTAGAGCAAGCCTGTGGGGTTTGTCTTGATTAAAGATTGATATGGGAGGGTCCTGTCCACTGTGGGTGGTACCACCCCTAGGCTGATGGTCCAGGGTTGTACAAGAAAGCAGGTTGAGCAAGCCATGAGGAGCAAGGCAGTAAGCAGCACCCCTCCATAGCCTCTGCATCAGCTCCTGCTTCCAGGTCCCTACTCTGATTTCCTTTGATGATGGACTGTGATGCGAAATGTCATCTGAAATAAACCCTTCCCTCCCCAAGTTGATTTTGGTTATGGCGTTCATCGCAGCAACAGAAACACTAACTGAGACAAGCACCATGCCTGCTGAGATCAGAGGGTGAGCCTTCCACAAGAAGCCCACCCTGTGCACCTGTGTAAGACAGCCGCATGTCTATGTATTCTCTCCTGTGTGCTGGAATTGAGCAAACTCTGGGGCACAGCAGTTCAGATAACCCAGAGCTCAAACTGCGGAGGAAAAGAAAGAGCAGAACAAGTAATCACGTGACACCAAGGACAGGAAGTAATCACGTGACACCAAAGACAACTAGAGTGCTTTGGGCGTCTGTGGAGGAAGCTTCATGACTTGCATGGAAATAGAGGAACAAACCCAAGGTTGAGTTTATTCTAAATACCTCAAAATGTGTCCTAGAGCTCATTCAAGTGGATACCACCTCGAAGCCATTCCAGGCTCTTGGTTTCTTCATCATTCCCGATTTTACCTTCCCCTACCCATCTGACAAAAAATGACTGTTTCCCTTCATTTGATTGTTTCAATATCCATGACTTGCTGAAGATATCCCATCCTCCTACAGCCAAGTAGAGAAGGCATCTTAGGGATCACAGAGAAATGCGCTGGCTTCTTCCACCATTGAAATCTCTTAGGATACTTTCCAAATCATTCAACCTGATAACATTAATATAGGATATCTTCATAGCTCCTCGTGTATCAAACACCTAAAACTAACTTTCCACGGTCAAAGCCAACCTTGCAAAGACCATTTGTCTAAATGTGCCAGTTTATTCTGCTTGGTGCGTTGGGTATCAGAACTCCGCCAGCTGGGATAGTGCTCAGCAGAAAACATTTGACTTAGAAGTAGAACATTCCAGAGCATTTAAGGTTGGAAGTGATTTAGAGATCGTTCATTCCTTTCAGCCTTGGACACAAGAGGAGAGCTGGAGGAGGTGGGGTGACTGAGCCAAAGGCATCAGGCTGGTGGTGGTTAGCAGCACGTGAGGACTGACATGGGGCTGGTGTGGGGGGGACTCTCGGGGTTTTCTGGGACTGTCATAGAAAGCCTAGCGTCATGCCTGGCACACAGCTGCACACCGCACAGAATGTTGAAGTGAGCGACTAATTGCTGAAAGTACTCTAATGATGTCCAAGCCTGCACTAGAACATCTGCCCCACCATAGTCCAGTGACGTAGGTACTACTAACTGCCACCTGCCGAGGTAAGTAAGGGACCCAGCCTAAGATAATAGAGATAGAAAAGGGAGGGCCAGGATTTGGACCCAGGTGCAGCTATGATCTAGACACAGTGTTGTTCTGATTAAGAGAGGATGAATACTCAACAGTATGTGTATCAATGAAGAAACAGGAGGGGCCTGGGGAAACTACTCGGGATCCCTAAAGGTGAGATGTGAGCAGTACACATGCATGAAATCACAAGGTGGTGCTTTGTAGCACATGCACAGTGCAGCATGAGAACCCCAGGCCCTACATGCAACACACAGCCCCGGGGCTGATGGGGACCATAGTTTACACAACCTAATCCTCAAAGGCTGTGTAAGATAAGACAGGGCACAGCATTTCTGTTCTTAACCGGTACTGCTTTCTCCACAGACATTTTGAATGATGAAGGTGAATGCACAGTCAGAGTAACTCCCCTCTGGAAGGGGCTTGCTAAAGTTGCTTGTTTTTAAGTGCTGGAGGGCATATCATCAGAGGGATTAGCAGGAGCCCTGCGCCTTCTGTCAGCATTCTGATCCTCACGCGACCGACCGCACGTCTCCGGCTGCTGACCTGGGAAGGCCTCTGCTGGCAGGCTGGGATTTTAGTGTCTCACATTGCTACCTCTGAGAGCAGTTTAGCAATTAATTATTCCCAGGAAACCTCGTAACTAAAAGCTCATTTTGTTAAGCTTGACACGTGTCTATTCACGGTGACTGCAAAGTGCATTTGGGGACCTCTGCGGTCCCATCATGAGTAGTTTTTCTTCCTGGCTAATGGTCTGGACCTGGACCTGTGGGATTAGACACGTGGTCCCTAGTATGTGCTCTTCAGTGTGACAAGAATGGAGCCTCTCTGGCACAGGGAGAGCATGAGGGCCCTTCAAGGTGTTTTTGAATTATATAAATAATATATATATATATATATATGTGTGTGTGTGTGTGTGTGTGTGTGTGTGTGTATGTGTATAAGTGGTATATATATATATATATATACACTTTGTTCCTTTTTGTGGCAGGAATTTTCAGAAAGGTGTGTGTGTGTGTGTGTGTGTGTGTGTGTGTGTGTGTGTGTGTGTGTGTATGTGTGCATTCATTCCATGGGGACACATAGAGGTCAGAGGCCAATGTCAGGCATTGTCTCCTTTCACTCTAGGTCACAGGGGTCAAACTCATATCAGGGTAACCCCTGGCTATAGTTTGTATCTGGACTGACCCCCAGAAGCCCGTGAGTTAGAGCTTGGTTGGTAGCTTGGCGCTACTGAACTTGGTGGAGCCTGGTTAAGAAGTGGAATGGACTGGGAGGTGTTCATTGAAGGTGTGTCCACAGGGATAGCGAGACCTCAGTCTCTTCCTCGTTTTCATTTTCACTCCTGCCTGGGAGCTGAGCATGTTTGCTCTATCACGCACTGGTACCCAAAGCGACTGGGCCAACCATGAGTTGAAGTTGTGATCTAACCTAAACCTTTGCCTTTTATAAGTTGATTAGTTCACGTATTTTGTTACAGCAATGGAACGCTAACACATTCTTCTTTGTGGACTGTGAGGGCAGCATTTATTTTGTTTCCTGCATGGGCAAAGCTATTTAGGGCCCTCCCTCAGGCCACAGACACAGACAAGTTTGTCTGCTGTTACAGTTACATGACCTGCAGCTTAAGTACATAACCTATAGTAGTTCTTCCTCTGTGAGCTCAAGGATATCTAAAAGATCTCTTATAAATTTCTATCCACAGCACACCAGAATCAATCCCTGAGATTGGAAATGGTTCCTAGTCGGGTTTCAAACACACCAGAACAATTAAGGAACACTTTTTTTTTTTCTTTTTGTAACTCTCAAAATTTGAATCGGAATCACTGGCTGAGGCACCAGTCTACAAACAGCTAACCAACATTCCCTCCCTCTCACCCAGGGGGATAGGAAAAACCTCCACTCCCACCTCCAGACCTCAGCCCCGCAGGTGTGCGCGTCTGCGCCATCTAGTGTCCAGAGAGAGAAAATGCTCTGCAGAACAGCCAGAACCCTGTAGCCAGGTGAGCATAAAAGTGTTAGGTACTCAGCTGGGCCATCACTCTCTTTTCTTGGTACAATCTGGGGTAAGAATGGCTTGCCAGCTTTCATGTCCCTAACTTGGTGATGCTGGCTAAATCCTATAGGCCACTTCTACCTGAATACCGACATGCCGGGAGTCTATGCTAAACACCAGAGTGTGACAGTTTCAGGTGGTGGAGAGGCAGTCTCTCAGCGAACCATATTCACTAGGTGTTTTTATCCGAGGCTGTGACTTCCCTCAACTCTATAGCTTAGCCTTTATCAATTGTGATTGGGACTCTTGCTTTGAAAGCTCAGACAAATGAATGTCTTCTAAGATCGGTGACTACGAAGTAGAAGAAAACAGAAACATTCTTGCTACTCAGACATTTGGTGCTTAATATCTAAAGTAACAATGTCACAGAGGTAATAACTGTGCTGGAGCTACAGGCAGGTCTTATGGATCCACAATAAAAATACAAAGGACTAAGCTGGGTGGTGATGGCACACTCGGATCTCTGTGAGTTCAAGGCCATCCTGGGCTACAGAGTGAGTTCCAGGACAGGCTCCAAAGCTACACAGAGAAAACTTGTCTCAAAAAATAAAAAACAGAAAGGAAGAAAGAATGCAGAGGACTAGACGCAGCAGCAGGAGAGAGCGAGATTTAAAGAGAATCAGCAACTGGAGCCTCATGCAAGGTGAAGGGAAATAACAAAAGCCAGGGTTCTTAGTCCCAAAACAGCCCTACAGGAAATTCCATGGAACAATCTTCTGTGGAAAACAGGAGACGTGTTTTATAAATAATGAGGTGGGCAGGGCTGTGGGGAGACAAGGCGCCACAGCGGAAGAGCGGAGCCTGGGTGAGGATGGACCTTCCTGGCCGGAAGAAGAGACAGCAAGCATCTGGTGCAATGACGAGGTACGGAACATCAGGTGCTGCCCAGGAAACATCCTTTATACAGGTTAGTGTGTTTTACCTTGCCCAGACAGCTCCTTAAAGTAATTTCTCTTTGCATTTCCCTCCTCTCTCTCTCTCTCTCTCTCTCTCTCTCTCTCTCTCTCTCTCTCTCTCTCTCTCTCTCTCTCTCCTGTTCTCTTCTTCTCTCTTTTTTTCAGGTCTGTGTCCATGGAGACTGGTATTCACTGAGAAATGGGGAAGCAGGGAGAGAGGATCTAGAGGGGAGTCCTAACAAATAACCAGGATGATGTCTCTTGTGGTGGATTAAAAGGATGGAAAGTGTGCTTCAAATACATCTACACCGACACATATTTGCATACCTATTATCCTGTTTTAGTCAGGACCTTGAACGTTAGTGTTGGTCATGCAGAATTTCAATATTAAGCAGTGATGGCTGTAAAATCAGTGTGAGCCCCAGTGAGCCTGAGGGCCTCCAGAACCAGGCTTTGTCTCCAGTTCATCCATTTGGTGCTGCCTTAACAGCAGAGCTCTGAGGGACCCCAGAGGTCAAAGTGAGTGGAAAAAGCTAATCCCATCCTGAGGCCTTGGGCTGAGGGAGAGCACAGGTGCCCTGGGAAAGCTGAGTGGTCAGAGCTGCAAATGAGCCAGAGCTGAGGAGAGAGAACAAGCCCCGGAGCTCCCGTGAACCCCTGGCCAGCCACCTCTGTCTCATCTGTCCCCTCAGCACCCCGTTCCTCTGCCTTGTCCTCCAGGTCCCAGGAGCGTCTTCCACCTCAGCTCTTGATGGTACTATAATTTCCTTAATTTCTGCCCACCTTTCCCTCCTCTCCCTAAAACACCCACCTCTACCAGTTCTCTCATCTGACTCGTCTACGGAATCTTCTGAGCTCCACCCCTGACTATCAACAAGGAACATTCTCTAGATAGCTGTACTGTCCTGGCCAGTGAGGAGACAGGATACATCGTAAATACAACCATTTCCTTCTACCAGCCCTCGCTCTGGGAATGACCTTGTTGCTAAGTCTAGACTGTGTACGCACGTACTCAAGTACCTTCCCCTGGGGTGCCACCCTGGCTGTCACCCCAGAAGCCCCAAATAGGAGGTAAAGGGGACCCTAGAGGAGCACTTAGTGAAGCAGGTTAAGTCCAGGTGGCGTGACTGGAACAAGACAGGCTGGAGGCAGTTCACAGGGGATTTCGGAAATGCCAGCTGCAACACCATCCTGGTGGCTGTGGGTGCCACCAGGATGTGATGGGGAACACTTTCTTCAGTTCACATCTTCTTGGCACGTCAAGTGGACTCTGCACCCAGGTGGACCAAGATGCAAGGTGTCTGAAGTCTCAGGAGGGCAGCTCCAGCCGCTTCCTGTAGAGCCTCCATCAACTTTGTCCTTTCCACACACAGCTGGGAAAGGGCAGGGATGGGACTGATGGCCAGTGAGGGTCCAGAACCTGCCTTAGTTCACAATATATCCTCAGGTGAGAATGTTCTAGAAAAATCCTCTGGTAACACAATCTATGTGCTTGAGCACAAAATTCAGCAATGTTGGAGAGGAAGGTAGGCTTCCTAGCATGGGGAAGCAGCCCATTCTCACCCCTATTTTAACACCTTTCTGCTCTGCAAATGGCTGCAGTGTCTATAAGGCAGAGCCTAGTGACACACGGTGTGTGGCCTTTGCGCCCGCTCTGCCTGAGTTCCGGCTCTGAGTCGAAAGAGAGGCGCAGATGACATTCAGAAAGTTCATGGAAATCCTTTTTGCGTTCAAACTTCTGGCTGGGACACAGGTCAGAAAATGACCTCATCTCCTCTGGATCCTTGCCCAAGGCTGAGCCCTGGCAGCTGCCACCCTGTGCCCTGGTGCAGTTCTGGCTGGATACCAGCTGGGCTCTTTCCTTCTGTCCTGGCTGCTGGCCTCACTCAGGGACAGCAGCCCCTGGACGATCACTTCTGCGTCCGAGCCATCCTCGAAGTCTTACGCCGCCGCAGAAGGCGCCCGCTATTGTTTCGTTTGACTTGCTCTGTTTTGACAGCACCTCTTTTAGCAGGGACGTCTGACTCTTTATTTTTTTAATTTTATTTTGGTTTTTGTAGAACTTGCCAAGCAGGTAAATGTGGCTCTGGGGAAGTGACCTGTCAGCATGATCAGATTTCAAGGAAGCAGAGTACTCGGAGCCGGAGGACTTTAGTTTTCTGTAACAACTGTGGGCCAGCTATTGTTCTGTCCCGTTTTACACGTTTAATGCAAACAGTTTCTCAAACACAAGTGGGTTATAGCAATCCTTGAACTTCTCCAGGTGGTAGAAAGGCTGGAAAAGGTCTGCAGACGAGGTCAGTTGATTTGGCCCCACTCGGCTTGTGGATGCTCCTAAAGTTACTGTATGCTGGCGGCACGGTGAAGCGACTCCAGGGTATTCACACGTGTGGGGTAAAGGCCTCCATGACAAACAGGGTCTCTACCCTCCCTGCGACAGTGCACACACTTGGGGCATTAATGTTCTGAACAAATACGCAGCACAGTTGGCCCTTGCTATACATGGATTCTGCATCTGTGAATCCAACCAATCACACGCTGAAGAAATATTTTCTTAAAATCCTGTTTGTACTGAAACATGTCCACCAACTCCTGCCATTACTCCTTGGCCAATATGGTCTAATAACCATTTACACAGAGTTCACATTGTGTTGCAAATTGTAAGTTACCTAGAGAAGATGTCAAGTGTGAGAGGACGTCTGTGGGGGGGTACCTGTAAATATGCAGCCATTTCGGATGAGGGACTTGGGCATCTCTGGATTCTGGTGTGTTTGAGAGCCCTGGAACCAACCATATACACACATATACAGTAGGTTTTCCACAAAGACTCTTACGGTCAACATTGCCTAATTTGAACTAAAGCTATGTTCATTTTTAGTGTCCATCATGGCCATTTACAAGGCCCCGCATTGTCATTACTACTGCTATTGATACTTTACAGCAAAGGAAATCAACCACTATAGAGTCCTATAGGCTCCTCATCATGTTTGGGGTTAGAACTCAGACATTTTCCAGCCTTAATCCTAAAATGATGTAGCCAAGGACTTAACACTGTTGTCAGCTCCTGTCTTAATTCCCTTGTCTTACATCCTTTGGAGTTTTTTGTTGTTGTTGATATTTTTTGTCTTCTAGTTTCTTAAGATGAATTCTAACTTGTATTTTAAATTTTCTTTCCACATTAAAGACCGTGTTCAAAGCTATTTTGTCTAAAAACAACTTTTTGTGCACGCTATAGGTCTGTTGTGAGGTCTCTTGGTTTGTGTGTGTGTGTGTTCACTCACGCACCACCTGTGTGACTGCCCACAGAGGCCAGAAGAGGGCATTGGACACCCTGGAGCTGGATTTACAGGCAAGCGTGAGCCACTGTGTGGGTGCCGGGAACCAATCTCGGGTCCTTTGCATGAGCAGCAGGCGCTCTTAACCACAGGGCCGTCTTTCATCTCTTAGTTTTGCTCACTTGCTAAATAACACACTTTCAGCCTTGACTTTGTTTGCTCAGGGACATTTAATGAATGTACTTTGTTTTCTAAATATAGAAAATTGGGCCTTTCCATGATTTATCTATTTGGTAGGGGGTGATATGAGACAGATGATTCTAAAATCTAATTCCTTAAACTATTTGAAATGTCCTTCATCGTCAAGTTTCTGACTGAAGTTCACAAATGTCACAAAATTTATCTTTTGAAAGACAAAAAAAAATAAGGAAAAGTTATGTATTTTTAACTTTGTGGTGCAAATTTCTTTTGCATGATACTAAAATGCCTTAAGATCCTATTTGTCTTTGATTATTTGAGGTTAATTAATTTGAATTCTTCAATGGGAATACTTAAAGCATTCATTACGCCTGTGCTTTGTCACACTCTGTTTACATTTCTGTTGTTGCGCCGTATGTTTGGGCCTGTGTTGTTTGTCTATACAAGTGTCTTATTTATCGACGTGACATAATGTAACATTGAAAGTGCAGTAGGCCTGTCAATCATCTGGAAATTGCACATGAAATGCATAATGAGGCACCACACTGGCACATGATGCTTGAGAGGAAATGTAGGTATCAACCTGGTAGGCTAAGCCATGCCCGGTTAGCAGGTAAAATGTTACTTCTGGTATGTCTGTGAGGGTGTCTCCAGGAGAGACTGGTGTTTGAATAGTGGACTGAGCAAAGGAGATCGTCCTTCCCTAGTTTGAGTGAGCGCCATCCAGTCAAACAAGGGGGGGGGGGGTCACGCTTGGACAAAACAATAACAACAAACCCCACAATGAACAAGAGGGCGGAAGGAAGCCAGGCAGCTGGACTGCTCATCTGAACCTGTCCTGGGGTTGGTAATTCTAGTTCCTGGGCCTGTTGACTTGAGCCAGTACTTAGGGCACTGGCTTCCCTGTTCTCAGGCCTTTGGGTGAGGACCAGAAGCACATCATCAGCTTTCCTGGTCCTCTAGCTTGCAGATTACACTTCCTCAGACCTCACAGCTTTTACAACGGTAAAAGCTTTCTGTACATCTACACACAAATAGACAAACTGTATGTCTATATCCTGTTGGTTCTATTCCTCTGGAGACTCCATAGCCAAGGATGAGAGTCTGCCACACTGCGTGTTGAGGATGACGAGGGCCATCTACACTGCACTGAGTATAAACGGAAGCACCACTTTGGAAAACTGTTAGGACTGACTGAGGCTGATGGACATTCATCCTTCCAGGCAGCAGTCTATGCCCCACAGTAGAAGGCACACACCAGCATCTCACCGTGGCATGATTACAGCATCCTCACTCTGCAAACACAAATCCCATCAACGTTGGAATGAAGAACTGAACTGTCTGATAATGGGCATCTATAGAGTCGAAGGAATAAGCAAACTGTTGTTCTACACACATCATGGGTGTATCTTGCAAATATGAGTGAAAGAAGCCAAGTACAAAATGGCACAGACTGTGTGCCTCCATTTGCACAAGTTACAGACCAGAACCAGTCCATATATAGGATGATAAGTAGTGGATATAGGACAGCAGATACCCTCTAGTGCCATGTGGTGAGCAGGGAAGGGCAGGGGGGCTTCTGGAATCTGTTTCTTAAGCCAAATAGTAGCACATGAATGTATAGACTGGGGAAATCAAGGGAGTGGAACACTATTGAGGTGTGGGTGTGTCTGCACATGGAGTACCCTACAGCTGTTTTTTTATTGTTTAAAATTTAATATGGTTCTGCACAGGATTTGTTATGAGACAGAAATGGCCACACTTGACTCAAATTTCAGGGAAACTGCAGGCACTGTGCCCATTCTTCTGATAAATGATGTATTTCCTTCTCTGCTCTGCCTGGTGGCAGTGGGGGACTGTAACCCCATTTTTATAGATTAAGAAAATGAAACTCGGGTCTAGAGAGATGGTTCATCTTCCAGAGGACCTGCCTTTGATTCCAAGCATCTACATGGTGGCTCACAACCATCCAAAACTCCAGTCCTAGGGATTAGACAGGCTCTTCTGGTCTCTGTGGACACCAGACATGCATATACTGCACAAACATACAAGGAGACCAAATACCCATCCACATAAAATCAACCAAAACATATTTTTTTTCAAAACAAAAGAAAAGGAACCCCGCCTGGCATCCATTTGCCTGTGTGCCTGTTGGTTGTATGTAGTCTTTCCGACCAAGGGCAGCGATCCTCAACATGACCTTGGAAGGCTGCCCCAGGGCCAGGGTCCATGTTTTCCTGCTGGCTCTTAGGAGTGAAGCCTGGAGTTCCAAGTCACCCTGTGGCTGGGCTTTTTAATTTCTCCCTGGGAAGTACAAAAATGATCTGCTCCCAAGACATTTTACATGAATTGCTTAGAGAGACTTCAGAATTCTCATTAAGCCTCAATGTTCTTCCATTAAACTGTGAGCTTCCCTTGTTCCTTGGTTTAATTTCACCTCTCTGTGTCATAAGCCTGGTACTGATGCAGTGTCATTTCATAACCAAATATCTCCCATAAGAACGATTACTCTGAAGCATGAGTAGTTATAGTGCTTAAAACAACAATAACTTGTATTATGTGGTCTACCCCGTTCAATTATATATGTAAACATATGCACATATATGTATATTTTTGTTTGTTTGAGACAAGGTTTTATTCTATATTCAGAGTGATCTTCAACTCAGGGCAATCCTCCTGCCTCAGCCTCTTGAGTGCTGGGGTTATAAGTGTGTCCGCCATTCTCACCTTTCAGTTTAGCAATCATATGGCTTTGTTTGAGGTAGAAAGACCTGGGAAGGGGGGGGGAGCCACAAGAGAGAGTATGAAGGGAGGGGTGTTTAGATGAGCAAAGTTGAATGATAAGTGTGCATGAAACATTATAACAAAACCTATAACTTGGCATGTTAACTTTAAAAATTAATTAATAAAACATTTATTCAAAGGACCATATTTCCAAAAAAGCTTTGGCTCAAAATAGAACGAAGCTGAAATGTACGATTTAGAACCTCATCACGGGAAGGGAAAACATCTTTAGGGTGATCCAAAGGCCATGGCTGAATGTGAAATTCAGCTCTGAGCTTTCTGGAAGAGTGTTATAAATCTCCTTTGATGACAGGAAACAGGCCAGTTATTCAAAGGAGACAATTTTTCAGTTGCAGATTCCCAGTAGCTGTGCCAAGAAGCCCTCTGCAGGTCGGACAGAGCAGGGCACCTGGTGGGTGTAATGAAGCCAGAAATACCAACAGGAGAAGCTCACAGACCCAAAAGTCTCCAGTTTTATTCTTAGAAAATGAGTTCAAAGAGGAAAAAAATTTAAAGGAAGGATGGAGGGAGGAGAGATTTGGGATTCCAAGAGAGGACCAGGCAATGAGGGCAGGGGGCAGATTGGCCCCCAACGCCACCCCGGCTCAAGGTCCCTGAAGCCACAGGGCTCAGGCAAGCTCTTCGCTCTCCGAGCCTGGCGTTCCTACCAGGGAGAGTGGACGTGCCGGGGCTCTCCTGCTTCCTCCCCTTAAAGCAAAGATGCACAACGACAATCTATCAGCTTCTGTCTGTGCTGCCACCCAGACAGGAAAAACAAACAGTACAAGCTCCCTTGTCCCCAGGGTGGAGGTGCAGTTAAAATGCCACTCTGTCTTCCCTACTGCCCTGGTCAGGGGTGAGGAGTGGGTGGGCAGGCAGCGCATTTCACTGTTCTGTGTGCATGGTCCTCAAGTCTGTCAGCAAGGGTATTTATTAGAAAATCCCAGTGTGTGGTGAGTTAGCACAGAATTATGAAACTGGATTGCAAAAAATGTGACCTTTCACTATGAGCTTCAGTCATGCAGTGTTTTGTCCTTTCTGTATTTTGAAGGGACACACATTATCCCAATTAAAGTTATAAGAGGCACAAAACTTGAGGACAAATTTCAGGAGGACCTCGTCTTTCAAGAATTCATGCTCTTGGTGCTGGGGAGATGGCTTAGAGGTTAAGAGCACTGGGTGCTCTTATAGGACAGGGTTCGAGTTCCAGGACCAACATGACAGCTCCCAACCATCTGTCATTCCAGTTCCAAGGGATCCATTGTCCTCTTGGGGCCTCTGTGGGCAACATAGTCTCTGGAATTTCATGGAACTTCAACGCTTGGGCAGCTGGGGAAGCTGCAGGAATCACAGGGCCCCTGTGCAAGGCTACAGATGTAATGAGGCCTTGCTGGAGGATTCTCTAAGGCTGGAGTTCCTCCAGGCACTTCCTCCTCACCTAGAAGAGGCTTTATGGAGGGGGACTTGCCTGGTTTTGTGACTTAGCTTCTTGCCTCTCTCCTGGCCATCTACCACATCTATGTCCGTCTTCCAGAGGCTACAGGCTCACAATGTTATCTGCCTCTCGAACTCTCGCTGGGCCTTAGAACACAGAGGTGGGGTGACACCTGGCTTCTGGGGACTAGGATCAGTTTCTCTATCTCATACTCTAATTACTATTTACTTACTCAGTACGCTGTGATTCAGATTCAATTCCAAGTCTTGGCTCAGTCTCCTTCAACTTTCAGGGCTTACGTTCTCAGAAGTTCAACTCTTCTGACTTGAGAAATAAAGATTGCGATATATACAATTCTTTATTTGTTAGCCCATTTCTTGTTGCTAAAACAAAATACCAAGAGCTGAGTACTTCATGAAGAGGACTCTTCCTTCCTTCCTTCTTCTTTCCCTCCCTCCCTCCCTCCCTCCCTCCCTCTCCTCTCCTCACCTCTCCTCTCCTCTCCTCACCTCTCCTCTCCTCTTCTCTTCTCTTCTCTCTCTCTAGACAGAGTCTCACTATGTAGCGCTGGCTGTCCTAGAACTCATTATGTAGACCAGGCACAGAGATCCTCCTGCCTCTGCCTCCTGCATGGATTAAAGCTGTGCCCACCACACTACACCCAACAAGAAAAAGGTTGTTTTGTTTATAATCACAAAGGCCAAAAGCCAATACTGTTCAGTCCACGGGGATGACATCATACTGGGCAGCATCATGGGAGTGCTTATTCTCTTATAACAACTCACTCCTGTGGGAACCAGCTGGGGCTGTCCTTGAGAACTGCACCAATCTCTCTGAAAGTGGCATCACCAATGACTTTTCAGTAGGCTCCACCTCTCAGAACTCAACAGGCCACACAAGGGACCAAGCTTTCATCAATGAACGCAAACATATCCCACCACAGCACATGCTCAGAGGCTGACACTGCAAAGCTGTGTTCTTCCCTGGCTGCCTCTTCAGGATCAGAGCCCTGCCACAGCTCTGTGGGGTTAGCTACCAGCACTGGCACTGACCATCTCATCTAGTCATTCAGCATCTCAA